GCGGGATCTGGGGCATGCATGCACACGTCCCGGGCGTGAGTTGAAGCCACTGGATGCAGGACTCGAACCACAGTCATCTACATGGGAGTTCAGTGACATAGCAATTACACTAACTGCTCGTCCCGCCCTACATGTGTTCTTAAAAAGTTCCAGATAAGGGAGATTTCCTAAGCCAAATATTTAAAATTAAAAAAATCTGTGGGGACCAGCAGATGTCACTGGACTCCCACATAGTCGACTGCAGTTCAAGTCCTGGACCTAGAGGCTAAAATCTTATGCTGGGCGCGTGTGTGTGTGTGTGTGTGTGTGTGTGTGCCAAATCCCAGAGGAGAATGGAGGGAAAGGGATTGTGGTGTGGCTATCCCCCCCGCCCCCCGTCCCCCGCCCCCCGTGGGTGACTTCTTGCTCTCTCCAGAGAGCTCATGCCACCCTACAGCAAAAATCTCTCTTAAAAAATTAAAAAATAAATAAAAACCTCTGATCATTAGAGCTGTTTTATCTTCATCTCTAATTAAACCTCTAGGCAGAATGGATCTTGAGCTTTCTTTAAGATGTTCTGAATCCTCCATACCAAACCCACGAAAACACTGGTGCATACAAGACTTGCTTCCTCAGGGGAAAATGCTCTGGTTTACGAGAGGATTGGCGGAAAGGAGGATAATCACTCCCTAGCTGATAATGTTTTGTAAGTCTGGGCGGCTTAAGGGCTCCATCCGGATTGACACCTGCACACCTTCCATCAGCTTTGACTGGATAAGTCCACCTCTAGGACTTGAGTACCTTAGGATCCTTAGATTTCCCCTAGGAGACCTCTAGCTTGGCCTCCGCAGAGGTTCCTCTAGGACAGCCACTGTAGGCTTTGTCCCCATGCTGGCAGCTTGCTTGAGTCCCTGCAGTCCAGGAAACCACTCAGGCCAGAGTGGGGGACTGGGGAAATCATGCAGCAGCCTCCGCTTGCAAGTCATCTGCTCCCGGTTTGGGTCTGTTTTCCCAACTGCACCAGGAGCGAGCATGCTGCTGCCTTTCCAGCAGGCCCTGCGGAGGTGGCCCTGTCCAATCTGAGCAGGGAGAAGAGGCTCTGCAACAGTATTCAATGGGGTAACTCTAGGGCCACGCAAGGAGAGTTCAGAGCCCAGGACAGGGCCCAGGCCAGGGAAGAGTAAGGAGGAGAGGGGGGAGTGGAGAGGTCCCTGGCAAGAGCCTGGGTGAACCGCTTGCGCCTCCTTCCCTGGCCCTAGCGTCAAGTGATGTGTCTCAGAGGGGAAGGAAGGGCTCTGCCTCCAGTAGCCAACACAGGACCAGACCGCTGTCCTGGCTCCTTCCGGAGCAGGACCACACGGGACCCACCAGCCCCGGGACTACCTGGGGAAGGGATAGCCCAGGCAAGCGGATGCGCAGCTGAGTCCGAGTGGAGCCTGGCTTCGGGTCACACCGCAGACCGGCTCTGGCACCCAGCACTGCCCCAGAGCTGGCACTTTTGCTGTCTCCCCCTCATTCCCAGTTGGACCGGCAGCTGGGCTGTGCAGGAGGGGCACCCACCTCTGCAAACTCCATCACCCCTCCCCCAGTGGGGGGAGGGAGGGCAGGCGGGAGTGATTTTACCCTCACGGGGTGAACGAAGGCAAGTAAATAACCCAGAAGTCACCTTAGGTCTCCTGAGAGAGTTCTGGGGAGAACTGGGGTGGGGGAGGGCGGAAGCCCTTCGGCTAGGGCGGGGCACGGCTGGCAGAGCTAGAGGGGTGGTCCGCAGCGGGCCAGGAGACGGGGGCGACCGGCATCCAGGCCGGCTGGGGCAGAGGGGGGCGCGCGGGCGCGGCACTCACGTCCTCTTGAAGACACCCCCGAGGGCGCTGCCCAGGAGGAGGCAGAGCTGCTGCGAAAAGAAGACCCAGGAGATCTGGGGCAGCGAGCTGTGCGTCTGGCAGCGCAGGTCCAGCAGCGTGGGCCCCAGGAAGGCGATGCACAGGCCGAAGCTGAAGAAGACGCTCCAGTAGGTGAGCGTGGGCTGCAGGTTGCGGCGGAGCAG